CTCTCTCTCTCTCTCACTCTCTCACTCACCGGGGGGAAGTAGGTGCCCTTGGTGCTTGACGAGCTGCTGGACGACGCTCCGGTGACGTGGGCGCGGTCGTACGGCGGCCCGCTGCTCCCGCCCATGATGCTGAGGGAGCCAATCACAGACTTCCCTCTGGACATACCTGTTTGAGAGCAAGCGTTAGTGTCGTGTTCGTTCAAAGACGATGAGACGGATCTCAGATCAGTTTGGTTGTGTGGGTCTCACCTGGCAGGGAGCTGGACAGCGAGCTCGGATGCGGTACGTATCCCAGCGGCACAGACGATGGCCCGTGAACCACAAAATCGTTGGTGACCGTCTCGCCATCATCCTTCATCTGCGGACAGAGGACGCGCTGACACACGAAATACACGGCGCCGACCACGAACAACGCCATGACCACAGCCACGATGGCGCCGATGGTGGTGTTGGGAGGAGAAGGCGGCTCTTCAGTCGGATCTGAAAACATTTAAATATGTTTCCATTATTCACTTTTACAACTTTGACACTGAGATTACATGTGTTTGTTTAAATAAAGTTTTGAGGGTTTGAAGGACGTGGAAGACTCACAGCAGCCGAACTCGTCGGAGTTGTCCGTACAGTCCATGTTGTTGTCACACTTCTTGTGTTTCCCGATGCACAGACCGTTCGAGCAGCTGAACTGATCCGGAGGACAACGAACTGAGAGAGAAACATTCATTCGTTCATCAGAGAATCTGATCATCGATGACTCATCAGATCAATAAACATCTTTATTATCGTCTCACACAGACGGCGAAGCTCAAGAGCTCAAGAAAGTTCTGTTAGAATAGAGTTAAAGCAAAGTCGTAAATTTAAATCAAGTCATTTAAAGCACAGTTATAAAGAAGCTAAAAGCTCATTGGTTCACCCGCTGATGCTGATGGGGGGGGGGGGGGGGGGGGGGGTGTTACCTGTCACACCTTCACACTTGTTCTCGTCCGATCGGTCCTGACAGTTGAATTCTCCGTTGCAGCGCAGACTCGAGTCGATGCACTGACGACTGTCGCACTGGAACTCGGACTCGGAGCAGACGGGACAGTCCTCCTCGTCGCTTTTGTCGTCACACTCGGCGTAACCGTCGCACCTCCAGGCCTGAGGGATGCAGTCGACCTCGCCGGACGTGCAGGAGAACTGCTCCGGAGAGCAGGTCGGAGGCTCTGAGGAGAAACCACAGAGAGACGATGAGATCAGGTCTGAGGTGGAGAGCGTGAGCGGGCGAGGGAGCGCTTCATTCTCACCTCCACAGGAGAGCTCGTCCTGCAGCAGCACCAGGTGGACGGGACACGAGCAGCGAGTCGTCCCGTCTCCTTTCACGATGCAAATGTGGGAGCAGCCGCCGTTATCCCACGTGCACGGATGTTTACCTGCAGGAGAAGTGAACGAGAACAAGGTGAGAGGAGTCGGAGACGAGTTCAGATCCTGTTCTGTCAGATCTGAGGAAATGATTCCATTAGATCCAAAGATTCATCCAAATTAAAATAATCTGACTGTTCATCAGTTTTTCTTCATTAGATAAATATTTAATATAATATTAATAATATTTCATTCTTCTGTTCAATGTTCTGAGTTTAGAAACTACAGCTCCCATCATGCTTTGGGTGCTGCAGGCAGATGCTGAACAAACATAAATCTTTATTCGTCATGATTCATGGGACTCACTGTACTCCCTCATGTCGAGCTCGTGCACGGCGTGGATGTCGCTCAGGTACGCGATGCGAGCCTGGATCTTGGTCCGTCCCTCTCGCGTCGTCTTGTCGATGCGTTCGATCATCTGCTGCTGCTTGTCGATCCAGTAAAGATGGTTCCCAAACACCGTCAGCCCGACCGGCTGCAGGATGTTGGAGTCTGCGATCACGATCCGATTGGCTCCTGGATTCATTTTTTTTAAAGAGGCACCAGGGAAAAAAACAAAAACAAGGTTGTCGGGCAAAAAACTTCAGGAAGAGAAGCAACGAAAGAGGTGAGAAACTGAGGGGGAGGCAGGAGGGGAGGCAGGGGGAGGGGACAGGGATACACGAGGTCAGAAAAACAGAAACTTCAGAGAAACATCCAGAGAAATTACATCATGTGAATAATCTGTAATAATCTGTTAATCACATCTGGAGATGAAGAGGAAAACAGACGCCCCCTGCTGGTAGCCCCTGACTCAGCATGATCAGCTCATGTTCTTTCAAAATAAAAGCAGACTGTGAATTCAGTCATGAACTGTGACGAGGTCACTGTGATACTGGAGGAAACATCAGAGACGATGACATCATCAAGAAGTGATGTCACAGTCAGTCGACCTGAAGGGGGCGCCAGCCTCTGCTGAGCAGCACTAACCAAACGCTCTGACTGAAACTGATCTGAGGACGGAGCGAGCTTCAGACCGCCGCCTGTCCTGCATCAGAGACACGAGGAGGCGTTTAGAGCAGCGCCCGGATCCTGCGCTCCGACGGCGTGACGGCCTGGTGTTTATATCCTCCACCGTCCTCTTGTACGCATGTTTCACATTCCGGACTGCCTGCGTCGGGCACCGCAGAATCACAGGAATGTGCTGAACGAGAGCGACACGCCGACCCCCACCCAGGACGACCCCCACCCAGGACGACCCCCAGCACCACCAACCCACACCCCCTTCGGTTCTGTTTGTTTACAAGTGAATTGAAAGAATAAGAAAAAAAAATCTAAGAAATAAGTAAATTCAGTCACTAATAATATAATGATAGTAAAATTATAACTATAACAACAGCAGGAGACGTCTGAGTGTGAAAGACCAAACCAAAGTCGAATCCCAAACTTGAAATGTTTGATTCATGTTAAACACTTCACACGGTTTGATGACCCGTCATGCACTCATGGACGTTCTGCGTCCAATCAGAGAGCTTGCTGGGAGTTTTAGCTTCCTCCTGCATGACTATAAATTCTGACAGTTGGCTCCCGGCGAGAGTTACGATGTCGACTCATCGGTTAAATCCAGAGGTGTAGAAGAAGGTGGCAACAACAAGGAGCAAGCTTCCACTTCCTCCAGAGCTTTGAGGAATCAAACATGTGACACCTGATTCGTGTGAATCAAACGAATCATCTGATCGGTGCCTGTCTGCGCCGCCCGACGTCTGAATATGAAAGTTGGTCAGATTCATGCTTCACACTCACCGGAGAGGTCGCTGCTCTCGATTCGTCGCAGGTCAGAGTCGACCCAGAACAACTTCCCCACCTCGTTGTCGATGGCCAGAGCGACAGGTTTCCCCAAACCGCTGAAGAACAACACCTCTCGCTCGGTGCCGTCCAGCGCCGCCCGCTCGATCTTCGGCGAGCGCTCCAGCAGGTTGGTGAAGTACATGTACCTGTGGGAGAGGGAGAGGAGGAGGCGTTCATGTCGCTGTGACTCAAAGTTTGAAGTCGTGCAGTGGATGTTTGTTTTCCTCCCTCTGCTCTGGAGGAACCAGAACATCTGCAGACTCCATTTGTCGACCACACAATGACCCCGAGATTACTGCGCGAACCCCGGCCCGAAGGAAACCCTGCAATTATGGTTCCAAACAAGCGGCTCTCGGAGAGAACAAACACGAGAACAAACGACTGTGATTGGAAACAAGATGCACGCACTGAACAGCGAGGACACAAACTGAACACTGCGAACGTTCAGAGAAGAAATCCAGATGTCAGAACCACCTGCACGTGTCCGAGCCGCCTGCAGGGGTCACATGACTACATCTGACGCTGCGTCACATTCACTGGATTGAAACTAGGGCTGCACAATATAAAACAAATTTACCATCATCCCGATATCGACATGTTTGACGGACGAATTGTAAAAAAACTGCTTTAAATGTGTTAATGTTGTTCCATGTATTCACGCTCCGCACGTCAATATATCTGGCCAACAGATGGCGCCCTGCTGACAATAAGTCAAAGATATTCAGTTCACTTGTGAACTGATATTTTCCAAATGACTGTTTGATTTCCTGTGAACACTGACCCTCTCTCCGGGTTGACCACGATGGCACGCGGTTTGTCGTGCTCGCCCCTCAACACCACGCCCACTCTGCTGCCGTCCGTGCGGGTGACGTTGATGACGTTGGTGACCTCGCTGGTCCAGTAGATGAAGCGGCTGTAGATGTCGATGCTCAGGTCGTAGAGCTGCAGCCCCTGACCGAGTCCGCCCAGCGAGCTCGCCACCACCGTCATACTCTGCGAGAGAAGAGATGTTAACACTGCTCAGATGACGGCAGCAGATTCAGCGCTAACAGGAAGCAGCTCTGACGAGGCGCTCACCTGGTTCCCGTCCTCCTGCGCTCGGCGGATCACGTTCTGCTTCGAGTCAATCCAGTACAGCTGTTTGTCCAGCGGGTCGTAGTCGATGGCGCGGACGTTCCTCAGGCTGTGAATCGGCAGGATGATGTCGGGACTCTGCTGCTCGTCAATCACCATCCGATTAATGGCCGTTTTCTGACTGAAGAGCAGGAACGACGTCGGAGCTGAAAGGAGGACGAAGAAGAAGACGTTTTTAAAATCCAGTTGGATTCATGAAAGGTTCCAAACACCAAGGTTGTTCTGGTTTATTTGATTCTAATCTTTTTTTATCTGCTGGAAAACCAACATTTATCCCATGAAGATCATAAATGATCTTATCAGAGGTCAAAGTTCACGTCGAGCATCTCACCGCTGCACGTCTTGTTGTCATAGTTGAGGGAGAAATGGGCGGGGCAGCCACAGACGAAGCTGCTGACAGGGACGGCGAGGCACAGATGGGAGCAGTGTCCGTTGGTGGAGGCGCAGGCGTTCCAGCCGCCCTGTCGGGACGAGTGGAACACCAGGATGTCCATGACGTAGTCCAGGTGGCCCTGGATGATGGTGCGGTTCTGGCCGCTGGTCTTGTTGGCTCGCTCGATGCTGCGCTGGCTCCAGTCCGTCCAGTAGATGTAGTCCTGGTACTGGGTGAGTCCAAACGGGTGAGGGAGGTCATCGGCGATCACCTCACGCTCCTGACCTGGAGGAGAGAAAGTTGAGGGATGAGACGAAGGAGGAGAATTAATTTCATCCGTAAAACTTTGGGGAAAAAAAGAAGATGAGAAAGAAACTAAAAGAGTTTCCTGTGAAAACGAAATGATCTTTAAGGTTCAGTTGGATCTGTTGATCTGATAAACAGCATCACGGCCTGCGTCAGGCTGAGATCTAAGTGATTCATTAACTCATACACAAGGCTGCTGAAAATGAGACAAGAAGAAGAAACGACGTCTCGTTCTGTCCATTATAACATCACAAGAAAAGACATATTACAAATAATTTAAACACAAAGTCAGTGAATAAAACCCTGATGATGATGATGATGTGGAACAAATGTCTCTTTTCTTCAGGTTTTTATTATTTAAGTTATTTTAGGAGATTCATGTAAATACAAAGACAGAATTTCTATAATAAATAATAATAATGTTGAGTGATACATCTTGAATGTTTGAACTTTTATCGTCACATGTTTTCATGTTAATATCCGTTGGTGACAGAAATGTTTAGAATCAGTTGTTCACCATGAAACAACTACGATCGTTATTATTATTCTAATAATGTCGGGCGACATTAGGATCTGATTTCTACAGAGACAGATCATTTCTGTCAAAGACTCAGATCCTTGTTGTTAAACCAGAAACAGACGTTTTATCACCAGACTCCATTCACAAAAACATGTTAGCTCATTAAAACACGATGCTGAAGTCCGGCTGCTTCCATCTGTTCATATGTTTGTCTGATTGTGTTGAAGTACAAAGATCTGAATTCTTCTTCCACCACACAAACACAAACCAACCAACAGAGGCAGCGGTGAACCAACAACTCCCCTGATCTACGAGGTGAAATGTCAACACAGTCTGGTGATATCACGTCTGTTTGAATCAAAGGATCTGACTGGAGGAATGTGATCATACTGTTGTCAGACGTGTGTCCAGAGAAGAAACTACTGAGAGAAGGTGAATCTAGTGGAATATAATAAATGAGCTGCAGATAAATTAAGTACAATTCTAAAAAATAACAGGTTCAACTGTTTTCAGACATGAACTGAAGTCAGGACATGTTCCTGGCATGTCAGGAACATGTCCTGGAGGTTCTGTATGTGAGAAATGTCTGAGTCACTGAACTCCTCGTCTTTCCGAGTTGACGTCTTCGGTGTTAGAAACGTCAACACGTCCACTCACTCACTGGGAAGTTTACCACATTTTACCAGGAGGCTGCAGGAGAAGATCCAGAAAATGTCCAGAGACACTGACTCAGACATTTGTTCTCACATACAGAACATGTGAGGGACATGTGAGGGACATGTGAGGGACATGTCATTTTTACCCACACTTCAAGGTTTATTTTTATAAGATCACAGAATAATGTTTCCAGAGCTTCAACGATCTGTTGTAGTGAAAGAGCTAAAAACTCGACATAAAGAGTAAAACATTTATGACAAGAACTCAACCATGTAAAGTTTTGTTGAGTGAAACTGTTCAGATCAGATGAAACAGATGAAAAGCAGCTGCCACAGAGAAAAAACTTAGAAACTCATAAAGGAGTTTTCTGCAGCAGACCTCAGCCCAGCGACGGCTATTTTCTGTTCCTTCCACATCCTACGACAACACTGCGGAGTCCAATCGCAGCGTGGTCTGTGTGTGAGGAATATTTTAGTCCTGGTGTACGTCCACCCACGTGCTGCAAGCAAACGGCAGCGAGCAGCAGCTTGTGTTTCAGCTGCACTTTGAACCGACAGAGAACATGTAACTCTACTGTCGTCTGAGATCATATGAACGACGCACACGCAACATGCGATTCATCCGTGTGGTTACACAACAGAGAAGGTGGAGATGAGAGCTGAGGAAGAGAAAGAAGAAATAGAAGAGGAAGAAGGAGGAGTAAAAGAAGAAAAGAAATAGAAAGAGGAGAAGGAGATCAGGAACAAGGAGAAGATTACAGTGGAGTCGTCCGCTGCCACAGACAGAGCTGATTAAATGCTGTTGTTACCGAGCATGTTGGATGACTCGATCAGCGTCGTGTCCAGGTCGGTCCAGTAGAGGCGCCGCTCTGCATAGTCGATGGTGAGCCCGTTGGCTCGGCCGACGTCAGCCACCAGAGTGCTCCGAGCCGTCCCGTCCATCGCCGCTCGGTCGATCTTTGGCTTCCCGCCCCACTCGGTCCAGTACATGTAGCTGCGGACAGGAAACAGCAGAAGTGAGTAAATTTAATCTCAGACAGTTAGAGAAAGAAAATAAACTCTGGGGACTCGTCCTCACCCTTCAGCGGGATCCAGAGCCAGAGCTCGAGGGCTGTCCAGATCCTTCCAGACCAGGACCTGACGGTGCTGCCCGTCCAGTTTGGCCACTTCGATGCGATTGGTGCCGGTGTCGGCCCAGTACAGGTTCTTCCCCAGCCAGTCCACCGCCATTCCCTCCGGGTAGTCCAGACCGAACTCCACCACGTGTTCCAGAGCGCTGCCGTTCATGAAGGCCCGACTGATGGTCTGCAGGGGTTAAAGGTCACATTAGAACAGGAAGGGACATGTTCACATCTCACGGCTGTTTGACTCCAGCTAATAATCAAGTTCGACTTAACGTCCGAATCTTTATATGTAGTGAACTTTTTTTTTTAATAACCTCCTGAGTCTGAATCTGTTTGAACTTGTTCTTTATGCCCCTGAATCATTTCTCTGAAGTCAAAGTAAATATAAACCAACGTTTAAAAAAGGAAATCCTCAGATAACCATGTGTTAAATTTCAGGATTCATCACAAGAACGTCCTGTTCAGAGTGAAGAGGAGAAAGACGGAGCAAGGACGCTGGAGGAGGGGTGGCGAGCAGCCATGAATTATTTCCAACATGGCGTCCCCTGGGAGGCCATTACTGCTCCGCAGCGTTGGCCTCCAGCCGACCAGCAGGAGGTCCACCTCACTGCAGACGCTCACCTTCAGAGTGATGTCCGTCCAGTAGATGCGGTTGTCGGTGACGTCGAAGTCGAGTGCAGACGCCTCCTTGACACCGGTGAGCGGGATGGCCACGTTGTTGTTGTTGGTCTCCAGGGAGATGCGGCGGATGTCAGTGTGGCGGGAGAAGAGTAGGAAGGCCTCAGGGACAATGCAGGTCCTCATGTCGGCGATGAGCTCGAGTCCAATGGGACAGCCGCACTGAACGCCCGAGGGCTTGTAGAGGCAGAGGTGGCTGCAGCCGCCGTTGTTCTCTGCACACGGGTTCGTACCTGAGGGACGGAGGGAGGGTTAGTAACTTCGACATGTGAGCTGCAGACAGTGAACACAGCAGAGTCTAAAGATAAATTCAACTTTGACACAACGAGAGTTAAATAATATTAGTTCGGACGAGACTTGAAAGCAGCTCCGACGCTGTTCAGGTTCGTGGACTCACCGAACGACTGGTGCACGTATGTGGCCTTGAGTCCCATGAGGTCTGGAAGCTGGTCGATGATGATCTCTCTCTCCGCCGTGCGTTTGTGGACGCGCTCGATGCTGCGACGCTGCCAGTCCGTCCAGTAGATGAAGTCACCGAGCAGCGTGAAGCCAAAGATGTGCGGAAGTTTGTCCTCCACCAACACCTGTCTGCCCGTCCCGTCCATGTTCATCACCTGAGAGAAAGAGACGGGTGGAGAGGTTACACAATGAGCATGCAACACACACACACACACAC